CGTTCACACGTTAAGCGGTCAAGCGGCCCGTTTTAAATTTTTATATACTTTAGATTAAAATTAGAAACTAAAGCCGCAATCAAAGATCTAAAAACACTTTTATTATATGTCGTCGATATCTTTCGATTGCGATCAGTCCGAATAAAATTGGTGCAGCCGATACCGAGATCTGGAGATCGTTTCCCAAAAAGGGATCATTTCAGCTTTTCAAATTTTTTCAGTCATACGTGTAACATATACATAAAGCGTTTGGTCCATTAAGCTGCTGTTCACAATGCCTTCATAGAATTCTAATTTTAATATAAAATTAAAGTAAAATTAGCAACGAAAGTGAACCTTAATGCGTATTTGATTAATCATGATTCTTTATCTATAATAACTAGTGAAGAAGCATTTATTGAATATAATCGGCTAAACGACTACATAAACCAGAAGCACAAATTATTATTACTATTTCAAAAGAGTTATCGTAAAATTAAAGATGTGCCATGGACATTACCGAAAATAATAACTTCTGTTCAACAGTCAGATCAAAAAGTTCGACAAAGTACCACTTCTTGGGTTATACGTGGTTTTCAAAATACTGACAAAGTTTCATGTTATGTCCATGCTGCATTACAATGTTTATTTCGTTTAAGTATTATTAGAAAACAATTATTTAATTCTGATAAACTAAATGTTTTAAATATGTTAGCGCATCGATATGAAAACGGAATATGTACTTAATTTGAGTACCTACACAGTATGAAAATATCTAGGGGAGTATTTTTTGACTGGTATTAAACGAGATGCATTTGATTTTGTTGTAACTCTTTGTACTAAATATGATTTTATAGAAAATTTGGTTGAGCATCAAATTACTTCTACTTGTCGATGCATAACATGTGGTGATACAAAAGTTACTACTAATAATAATTTCATTTTCTCAATTTTTGTTAACAATTCGAACAAGGAAAGTTTTAATCTTAACAATTTACTAAATACTTGATTTTCACATTGGTCTAAATAAAATAATAAATTATGTGAACGTTGTGAGAGAAATGATATATTATTTAAAAATAAAATAACATTGGCGAAACAGATAATTATCCATTTAATTTCATTTTCATTTTCAAAATGGAACATTAGGTGCCACAAAAAATTAATTTATGTGCTCTTCCAACAAGTGAAATACTAATAGCTGGACTAAAGCTATGAAATACTATAGCCGTATAAAGTTATGAATGTTATATTTCATTATGGTTCATGTACCGAAAACGATTATTTTATAAGTATGTATAGAGAAAGTTCAACTTGGTTTGAAGCTGATGATACGCAAGTTACAAAAAAGCAATGGCCTAGAGCTGCTAAAAACATTTCTACATTATTTTTAGAAAATGTTGATAATAAATAATATGTTCTAGTAATACGTACACATGTGAAGAGATATATTATTAATCATATAAGAATATAAGATGTTTAACACTACAAAATGGGTGATATCTTAACAAAATTACCTTTTTAAAAAAAGGTAAAAAAAAGGCGCCAAGTGTGCATGTACCTTTCATAAAAAATTGTACTTTACTTAAACTAAAAAAAAAACCGCTACATAAATAATATAATTCAAGTGGTAATATTGTTAATTTTTTATTATAAATTATATATTGTTTTTTATTGTTTTATATTGTTTTATTACTTTTAAATTATATTACAATTATATATTACAATAATTATTATTACTTTTAAATTATATACAATTATCTTTTATTATTTATTTTTATTAATTACCATTCCAATTTTAAATTGTTCTTGTAGTTTTTTTTACTCTATCTAGCAGCGCCAAGTGTTTTTACATGAAAAATTTTTCTATTTAAATTAAATTTTTTCATTTTATACGGTTAATTCTT